GACAGTTTCCCGAGCGGTTCTACTGCACACTTTACATAAGGGCAAGTCGTTGTAACGGCATATTTCTGAGTTGTGCTCTAATGGCGTTTTTAGGCTCTCATCTCGTTGTTTCGAAGCCGGTCTGGGTTGGATAATCAGCGTGATGCCGACAAGCAGACCATCATTGATCGATGTGACGTCGTTATTGAGGACGGAGAAGGAATTGAAAGCCGCTTCATTTCCCGAATTATCTTCAAAAATGGACTGACTTCTACGCACCGCCTGCCGTACGAGATTGCGGTGCCAGTGCACGCCAAGTTCAACAAGCAAGACGCACCTCATCACTGGACCATTTCATCACGAACACTCCGGGAGTTGATGGAACATTTCGGGCCTGGTGTCGAATACCTAGACATCAACACGGAGGGTGACCACGTCAAGTTCACATGTTTCAGCGAAAAGACTGTGAGCGAAGATAGTACGTTCTTGATTCATCTGCAATCTACCTCTGTTCCACTGAGTATTCTGGAGGGCAACGAATCTAACTCACACGGCTGTAGTGGTATTAAAGAAACCCCTCAGAACTACAATTTCTCTGGAAATAGACGAGTTCGACGATATTGATGTCGAGGATGACCTCCACATCGTCATCACCGTCAAGGATTTTCGCGCCATAATCCAGCACGCCGGAATTACTGGTAACGACATTTCCGCGCGTTATTCACTCCCTGCCTGCCCCATCCAGCTCGCCTATCTGGGAGATTCTATCTCGTGCGAATTCCTCATCATGACGGTCGGCGATCGCGGTGCCAACCCAGCCCAGAAGACCAAAAAGGGCCGTAAGAGTGCCCCGCCCAAGACTGCTGGGCCGCGACTGGAGGCCATCTCTCGTAGAACGAGTGTCGCTCCATCCGAACCGCCGCAGCCACCGCAGAACCAGCCAGAACCAGCTCCCCAACCTGCACCAACGGCATCCCTGAGTGCCCGGCCACAACTGAGCACGGCGAGAGCTAGTGCCTCTCGCTCCGGTGTGTTCGATTTGCGTCCAACTCAACAGCAGGCGCCCCCTCAGGCTACGATGATGTCAGAGAGCCTCTTTGTGGATGATGACGGAGGTTGGGAGCCTATGAGAGACGAAGATGAGGACGAAGAGGAAGATAATGCAAGGTTAGGATGGGACCATAGTGCTGAGCCAGTAAGTTTGATCACCCTCCTGGGCCAAGTTCTATTAAGCTGACCGAACAGAATCCTCCTTCATTCCATCTGAGTCGGCCACCAGAGCAGCAACAGCAGCAGCAGAAAGAACCAGAAGCTGAACCTGGGCTTGTACCAACCGCCGACGACCGGGAAGCAAGTTTTGTTGAGCCGACACAGAAGCTGTCTGAGGTTATGAATCTTGCCCTCTTCCCGGATTAACCGCAGTCGTTTATATAATCATAGCCCCTTGAGCATCGGGATGCTTTCTAATTTTGTTTTATTTTGAAGCCAAGTTAATCAGCTGTTGAAATATAGATCCAGCTAGTGGCGCACCCTGCCCCTATCGTGGCAATGCGAGCCTCTTTCGGTATGAATTTTGACGATGCTATGACATTCCACCGACCCTTGACATCGTTGTTTTCAACTTGTGGCCCGCAATTTCCGTGCTCTCCCCACCCCCAAGACAGCACATCGCCACTTTCTGTTAACGTAACAACGTGCTCGCTTCCTATGGCGATCTTTGAAAGAGTAGGGAGTTCGGGAGGTGGTAGTTGCCCATGATCGTCCCGTCCCCATGCAACCAGGCGGCCGTCTTTGGTCAAAATATACACACTACCCCAGCTCGCTCCAGCATCCTTCCAGGCTGGCGCCTCTTTTGGTGCATTGGACTGTATTGACCACTTGTCGGAGCCCAGCACGGTGATTTTCCCTTTGCCAGATTCTCCAAGAAGACATGTGGATTCTTTACAACACACTGCCCTGTAGACGTGAAAGCCAACCCCTTCAATCTTGCGTGGCGAATGTATTACTTGTGCCGGCTCTCCCACTTGGCCCTTGCGGCAGTTTCCCCAGCCATAGGCATCGCCGTTACTCAGCACGACGACGGCATGGGCCATAGAGGCGTGTAAATCTACGATTTCCGTTTCAGGTGGAGGGAAATCCTTGATCAGCGTCGCCGAGGGTGTCCTGACGATAAGCTCACCGGCTCCGAGCTCGCCCTTCATGCCCACACCGAAGCTGTACAGCCTCGTATTTTTGCCTTCGCCGTCCCTGGCCACCACGAACGAAGCTTCCCAGGCTGCAGCCACTAGCGTACACTCTCCGATGGCTTCGTTCCCATCCTTCGACAGCTGGATTTCCTGGAAGACAGGCACATTTGGAGGAGACGCTATGCCGCACGCGCCAGTCTCGGGATTTCCACTCCAGAATATCTGGCCAGCTTCGGTGAGTATTAGAGTATGGTTGCCGCCAGCTACAATTCTCGTGATGCGTGACTCTGGCTGGGATGGGTGGAATATAACGGGCTTGGGGACGGATACATCCTCTTTGTGGCTGATCCCCAGCTGGCCAGATCCATTGGATCCAAGCGCAAATAAGGCGTTCATGATGGCATTCGTCTTCGTGAGCTTCGTTTTGTCTACCCTGTGGAAGATGTTGTACTTGCACCGGTCTTATACCATCTTGGTGTTGATCCACTTTGGGCAGGCACAGTAATTGCGTGGCCCCCACATTTAAACGCAGTACACCATATATGCAGTTATCAGCAACTTGATTTTTTTTTCGCTCCTCTATTTAGAAGCTAGAAGTCTCGCGTCCTGCTTTGGCGTTCCTCATCCTTCCTTGCAAACTTTTCTCCTGGGCACACCTGGAGGAGACTGCGAAGGTTGTTGATTATCTTTCTAGGTGTGAGAGCTCTTTTTGAGCTTCGCACACTTGCTGTCATTACTGATGGCTGCTGCCACAAAGTCCGATGCAATCCCTGAAGGGATGGAGGGCTTCGTCGTGGGCCTGATTGGCATGGGCGACATGGGCAAATTGTATGCCGAAAGATTGTCAGCCGCAGGATGGAGGTAAGTTGTTTGCCGTGTACTTCACGAAACACGCTGGCTCCCTTTGAAATGGTAAGTTTGACTCATCTCTCTGTCTACCCTCTTCTTCCCCTCCCGGTACTATGATGACTAGAGCGCATTTGGCTCGAGTATCGGCCTGGACAGTCTGGTTCCCGTTATGGTCGCCAGATGCCGTCCAGGCTGCTCACTGATGTAAACGCTTGCTACCTTATTTTTTCTTTGTCTGACTGTACCTCACACTTCATCCTTCTTTTCAAGCACCTGCAAACCCTTGACTGGACCTTGAGCTGACCAGATGAAATCAGATATAGATGAATAGCTATGTGATGTACGAACCACCCGTTCTGATGCCTGGCTAGGATATTGGCGTGCGACAGGGAGGAAATGTACGACAGTCTGGTTGAGGAATACTCTAGCAACGTACGACCTGTGCTGTCCCATGCTCGCTCCGACGCCTTCGCTGAAGCCTTGCTTGTATAGAACAGAATAGAGATATGCCGAAATGGCCACCTGGTATCCCGCGCAAGCGACTACATCATCTACAGCGTCGAGGCTGCCCTCATTGACCGTGTGATTGCCCAATATGGCCCTTGTACGCCATCCCTCTCCTCGTGAAAGATCTGCCCAAACCTGTAAAAAAGCACCTTGATAGAAGAGAACCCGCCTTCTGACCAGCGAGCGCAGCAACCAAACTCGGCGCCATCGTGGGCGCCCAGACGTCCTGCAAAGCCCCCGAGATCAACGCGTTTGAGAGCCACCTCCCCAAGGACGTCGACATCGTCTCCTGCCACTCCCTCCACGGCCCGTCCGTCGACACCCACAACCAGCCCCTCGTCCTCATCCAGCACCGCGCGCCCGACTCGGCCCTCCGCAAGGTCGAGGCCGTCCTCTCCTGCCTCCGCTCGCGCTTCGTCTACCTCTCGGCCGCCGAGCATGACCGCATCACCGCCGACACCCAGGCCGTCACGCACGCCGCCTTCCTCTCCATGGGCAAGGCCTGGCACGCCAACAAGCAGTTCCCCTGGGAGCTGAGCCGCTACGTCGGCGGGATCGAGAACGTAAAGATCAACACCATGCTGCGCATCTACTCCCAGAAGTGGCACGTCTACGCGGGGCTCGCCATCATGAACCCCGAGGCCAAGAAGCAGATCGCCCAGTACGCCCGCAGCGTCACCGACCTCTACAAGCTCATGCTCGAGGGCGACCTCGACGGCCTGCGCGTCCGCATCCTCGCCGCCCGCGAGAAGGTATTCGGGCCCTCATTCACGTGGGGGTCCCGCCCGCTCGTGCGGCCAGAGGTCCTCACGTCCTTCTCGCTCGGCACGCCCAACCCGGACGCCGAGCTGAGGCCCAACAACCACCTGTCGCTGCTCGCTACGGTCGACTGCTGGGCCGCGCTGGGCATCGTTCCCTACGAGCACATGATCTGCAGCACCCCGCTGTTCAGGCTGAGGCTCGGCGTGACGGAGTACCTCTTCGCGGACAAGGACATGCTCGAGCAGACGCTGCGGACGGCCGTGTCCGACCTGACGTACCGGAGCGACGATCTCGAGTTCACGTTTGCCGCGCGTGGGTGGGCCGAGTGTGTCGAGATTGGGCACTTTGAGACGTACGAGAAGCGGTTCAAGAGCACGCAGGAGTTCTTCCAGCCGCGGTTCGAGGAGGCCAAGATTGTGGGTAATCAGATGATGAAGAAGGTCATGGAGACTGTGACGGACGAAAAACCATGATGCCGGAATCTAGCCCCTAATCATAAAAACATATAAATAAAGCTGAGAGCCAAAAGGATGTACCAAGTAATGTGACATTTTCTGCTGCGTACTATTGGGATCTACTCTGTACAATGTATACCTCTAGACTGGCTCGAACAACTCGGTGGATATCCTAGGTGGGATTCATCTGACAGTAGCCTTTCTAACCAACTCCACCTCTCGTTTCTCTAACTCTTCGCTTTCTTGCTTGCCTCGTGCTTGGTTATACCTGGGTAATCACGTCCGGGATGCCGAGCTCGGTGCTCTCCTCCAAGACCGCAACGCCGTATTCAGTTGTCAAACTGCTTTCACCCTCTGCAGAGCTTGCGACCAGACTCTCTGGGGCGTAAACGCGAATCTCTTCTGTAATAGCTGGCATTTGTAATGGAGTGTTGCATGCCATTCTAGAAGCCCCATTGCACTGGTAAGCTGGCCCTGCATCGCCCTCATTGTCTGAATCGTACGGATCCTCTTCGTCTAGGATATTGTTGCCGAGATCAGCGAGCTGACATTGTGTTTCGATCAAGGGAAGAGAGTGGACCAGTTGCTGCCGCGCGAGTTGATTGGTTTTCATCGAGAGGGAACTTCTGTCATTCAGCAATCGAACTTCTTGCATACTTTTTAAAAGGGGCACGAACCTTCGACCATCAGTGATGCTTGGCTCTTCGGCGAACCCAAGGGAATATGTTTCAGAGGCGTTTGTCAACCCGTACGGGCTGGGAGAAGGCGGGGGCGTACAGGCAGTTCGTGCTTGGGGCGACGTTTGGGTTTCCGATGTTGTGTTTGTGAAGACCGCGGACAGATTGTCGTAGCCTGGTGAATGCTTGAGGGTTTTGGGAGCAGCGTCTGCTACCTGGGAGAGAGAGAAGCTGCCACCAAGTTCAAGGCTTGTCCGAAAGCCGACTCCGCTGCCAGAGGAATACTGTTGACTGCTGGAAATTTGCTTCTCGAGGAGCTCTATGAGGCTGATGTCGGACTCCAGCAAGGAGTAATCGGTGCTCCCATCGCGATGGCTTCGAGTCTATATTAATATACTTAGTACTGGGCTGAATTTGACAGAGTGTCGGGGATGGTCTCATCTTACCAAAGAGGGTGGGCGGCAGCCGATTGACCTGAGAATCTCAACGTTCATGACGGGCCGTTCACCCAATCCATGAAACCCAAATCCGACAGCAGCTGTAGGCTGAACCTCATTCTTGGCCACACTATCAAGGCTCAGAAAGGATCTGTCAGCTACCGAAGGTCGGCACAAAGGGCAGACCATATATCGACATTCGTTCTCTAAACTGGGAACCCAGGGTCGAGGATTCTCAGTTCCCAGAAAAATCGTGTCTTGGTAAGGTTCGAAGAACTGATAATTGGAAAACGGATTGCGGCGTGAATTGTCTCTTGCGATGGTATTCCGGACCTTCTCGGTTCTCGAGTCAATCCTGGGGCTTTTGCGGGGAACGAACACTTCTCAAACGCTGGCGAAATTCACTCACAGACTCCCGTTGTCGTAGAAGGGTTTGTATTTGATCCGGACGATATTGCGACATCTGCTCTGGTGTGAGTTCGTCGAAGAGGCTGAGAGGGTCTGCTCTGGCTTCTGCGCTCCCCGTTCTGATGCGTAACTTTGAGGACCAATATTCCCCCAGATCGTCAAAATATTGCTTCATCGTCAGTTAGGCCAAAATATGCTCGAAGAAATAATGAAGTGAAAGGGGAAGGGTAATGTACTGGACAACCAGCGGCCACTGCGCTCTCAATCATCACCTCGCGATCTTGCGTGCAGCAATACACCCAGCCAAAGGGGCCTGGGCGACGGCACGCATCACACAAAAACTCAAAGCCGTGAAGCCGCGTCATGGTAAGATGCGTACATGTAGGCTTGAAGCGGACTGGCACCAGCATGCCTGGTGGGCTTTGATGAGCCATGTCGGCGAGATGGCTCCTGGTCGGCCTGGTCAAGGGAGCGGTAGCAAACCTCGAGAGTTGGGAGAGAAATTCCGTGAGAGAAAATGTTGAAGTGGGTGACTCGGTCATCTGGATTAATTGTAGAATGGCAATGCTGCACGGCAAGATTGCAAAAACGCTTGTGCGTTGAGTTTGCCCCGTTTGAAAGGGATGAATTCAAGTTGAAAGTTAGAAACGGCTGGAGTCAGAGGAGGAGGAACGTAGAAAACTCACCAGTCCACCTCTGAACTTGCACCGATGCGTGGGACTCGTAGCCAAAAGGCGCATGCGGTGCTCAAAGTTCTGGAAACAAGTAATTTACTTCGAGAATACGAGGCAAAGCGCCAACCCCCGCGCCTCGTGAAATCACCACCGCCGGCCAACTGATGCTAGATGGCCACAGCCGCTGGCAGGTGGCGACCTTTTCTCAGGTACTAAGTTTACCCGTCTACCGTGGGAACTTTGATTCCCTAGGATCTACCGTTGACAAGAATCTGCATCTCTCAGCAGAGACCGCTCAGTCACTGGGAAGTCCGCCATAACCTTCAACATGGAAAGAAATCATCGATCTCGTGCAAACCACCCCTCAAGAGCAAGCAGACAATCAGAACAATGTCCGGTTCTACCTTTTGCCATTTCAGACGTTGTTGGAAAATCTCGTCGTCAGAGAAGTGCTCAGCAAGGACCTGGCGGAAGCGTCTTCGGCAATTCTGTCGAAACTGGGACCGTGACTCGTAATCAAAGTCAAGCTGGGTTCATACAGTCGTCGACGGAAACGATGACTGGTGAATTTGACACCATGGGGACTATCAAGACGATGAACCATCTCGATCTGCCTACATCTTGATGAGAATTCGGAGAGGGAATCTGATGATATCTGCATTCATCACCAAGGCCTCCGAGGAAATTCGTGGTGACTTCTCCAATGGCGTTTCGTGGAGATAATTCACAGAACAAACCGCAAGCCGGCGAACAATCGTCTCGTAGAAGTCATCCTGGATTGAAATATCTGATTCTGATCGTTTCTAGAACATGTATATTATGCTTTCTCGTGCGAAGAAACGTCCTGCCTTGCCGTTGGTATCTTGCACATTCGCCAAGGCTCTCGAACTTACGCAATTTGCAATCATCTAATATCGTCTGTCGCACCTGCCTGCAAACTTTGCCAGTTATCTCGAGAAGCGCGATACGAGACATGTTGGATTTGACTCCATTGCGTTTTCAAGCAGACAACATCACTCCCCTTCAGCTAGCATCGCCCCCAACTCCCAGGCGGAGGGAAAAACAAAATTGTGTTGGTCTACTTCATCATTATTTATCTTGCTCTCACCTATGTGCCTTTCAAATGCATCACTTGTCATGACATTCTGGCCCCAAAAACGATATATAGCTAATTCGCGATCATAGGCCAGCACACGACAAAATGTAAGACATCAAGATGCGCTTGTCCGCCGTCAGGTCATTGCTTCCGAGCTCCCCAAGATCTCAGGGATTGCTGGTGTCAATTTCTATCAGCATTTTGGACTATGACCAAATCACCTTAACCGACAAATCATTTCTAGGGGCTCATAGTATAGTAGAGAGCTAGTCGATAGAAATGAGACGACCATTTGCGATGCATTTCTTGCGCGCTGTTGGAGATCTGCCATTTGGTATCGCGATGGCTGATGGCTACGTTGATCAGTTCAATTACTTGTGGACGTACTTCTTTAAAATTCCAATTGGTCTTATAGAAACTGGTATACCGGTAAGCTTCTGACACTGGGTAGGTACGAGAGGTGTTTGATCGCCGTCTTTGAAATCTCGTTCCAAGGTCTGCCAAACGGAACAATGGAGTCCCCCATTCATAGCCCGCTTGGCATACGCAGTGATCACTCCATGAACGAGACATGCTCAAATATTTTCTGCACTAGTCTAGCATGAAAAAAAATATATCTTCTGCTGTATCCTTGATAGAAAATGGACAACATGTTGGGTAGCCAATCGGTTTGCCCGTAAGCTGCAGCTAGAGAATCCAATTGCAGAGGTACATGAAGATACATTTGCTGTCCAAAATCTTTCGAGCGGCCCAACGCATATGCAGGATTAATCAAATGTCACTAGCTTGTTTCTGTACATCAATTATGCATCCAGATTTTGGACAAGCTGACCGCTGTGCAGGCGCATGTCGTATGTGATGGCAGTTACAGCACATCTCAAGACCGGAAAACCATCTCATTGGCCTTTAGCCTCCGATATGGTGGTCATCACCGTTACTCAAATCCTAAAATAAGCAATATCGGCGGTCTGCAGAATTGGAGAAGGTGAGAGCAAAACTGCACATTGTGCAGTCTTGGGCTACCTATATAAGCGCTGACCTGTCCCATCCAAGGCCTGGACAGCACACCTCCGCAAAAAGCTCACAAATCCTCTCATCAGAGATCGCCTTCCTTCTATTGACACCTGTTTGGCCAAACTCTCTCCAGGTCTACTACCAAGTTTGGTGCACTCACTGTCTTGCCCCTTTGCCCAAAGGTAGCTTGCAAGATGGACGATATCTTCACTCAGAACAGGCCACTCATTAAGCGCTTGTATCAGGAGGAAAGAAAATCGTTGAAGCAGTTGAAGGAAATTTTAGAGAGTGAACACAAGTTCCCAGAATCATCGTATGGCTTTATGTATCCCAGCCATGTCCCCCATCTTAGCTGACCCAAAGCATAGGCTCGCATTCTATGAGACAAAGCTGAGAGATCTCCTGGGAGTTCGAAAGAAGTTCAAAAGAGAAGACTGGCCAGTTATTTATCAACACCATCTGAACAGCAATAAAAAGAATACTGCGCTATATTTGGATGGAGTGAAGTTCCCGTGGAGGAAAGCCTGGAAAGAAATCAGACGGTCTGGCGCAAGGGAGGCGACCATTGGTGAGTACATGGACTGATTCTATTCCGTTCCGGTTCCTAATATTTTCAAGCTCGAGATACACCACTTCCACAGGGCATAGAACTGCGTAGCCCGTCGCCCTCTGCACTTAGGCCTACAAATCGGTCTCTCCCACGAAATACCTGTCGATCAATCTTGCCAACTTGCCCTCTTCAAGCATTTTCTCATGGCACAGATCGCATGATCGTCAATCCTATACTCGAATCCAATTGGAGCACGAATGATTTCAATTCATATAGTTTAGCGAAAGATGTTGTTACCGCCTCCAATAATCACAGGTGCGTCAGCACAAGCCTGGTTGATTTAGATACATCCATAGCAGCAGCAGCCACATTTCCCAGTAAGTGAAAATCAACACATGATCATTTGTAGGACGCCTACTAATTAGCCTCAGGGATCGATTGCAATTCTTTCCTCTCAAATGAAGATGAGCTTGTCCTAGTACCTCAAAGTATTATGCCTCTATCGAATTACACGGAAGTGGTAGCTTCATCTGCCAGCATCAAGCCGTCTTACAGAGTTCAACTCTTGCTCGAAGATTTACCCTGGCAAAGCTGTCGACTTTTGTTTTCCAGTAAGTAGTTGAAAGCTGTACCCTATATGCCACCTGTCCATAGGAAGAAGTTTTCTCTAACCGGATTTTAAAGCATTTCTAAAAGGCACGAGCAACGCTCAAATCAAACACCAAACATTCAATGGCATTATTTATAGTCTCATACCCCGAGATTGTTTCTCTACGGATACTTCGGGACTTGAAATGGCTAGAATGTGTGATACTACCTTCCCTGACCCTTGGGATATTCGACAGACAGCCTCGAGGTTAAACACATCTTCTAACATTGAAGTATACTGTTTCCTGGCTCAGACCATCTATTTACTGTCAAATTCGTTATTAGCCTATAACGACGTAAATACAATCGAAGTGATCAAGGCTCTTCTTCAGCTCCCTCCAGGCACAATATTTTTAATCTTTCAAAACGACCTTCCGTCTATCTACGCCGCCTGGGAGGGACTGCTTCGCCTTGTGATCGGTATTAAAACATGTCATGTCGAGATGATTCCACAGATATTGCGAACTATCGATATTTATCCTATAATTTGCTCCCTGATAGAGGTAGCCCTACACCGAGCCAAATGGCTGACGGAAAACGATGAACGTCTTGTCGTTGCAGCCATATCAATCTCAAATTCCAACTTGCTTAAGCAAATGCTGGGCAAGGGCGCTTGCCCAGTACAAACTCAGAAAAGGAGGAGAGCGATTGATCGCGCTGTGGAGGAAGGCTCAGCATCATGCATCGCAATATTGGTCGAGGGTTGTGATCCGAATCATATGATCGAAGATTCAGGGTCAGAATTTGCCCACATTCTTGAAGAAATTTTCAGTAGAAGTAGTCGGAAAGACCTTTGGAAGCGGCGCGAGCTACTACTCCGAGTCGTTGACTGCTATCTCGAGGCAGGTGCTGATGTTGATCAACCTTATCCGTCTTGTGACAAACACCGGGAACTTTTAGAACAGACTAAAACCCCTAAGGACTGGTACCCAACCTATTTAGATTAGGCCTTTCAATGTGACAGGGAGTTATTCGACCGAATCCAGCCGCGAAGTTCAGTTGATGAAACGACCATAACAAGGCACGGAATCCTCCTGGCTGCCATGCAGGGCAAATCAGCGCTCTCGGAATACATTAGATCTCGAAGCTCACAAACGACTACAGAAGCGAGCCGGTTCCTGAAGCTTGTTTTTCGAGAGCAATTAATATCCCCCAACCACTGGGTCCCTTGTGATACCAAAATTTTGAAAAGCCTCTTGAGTACTTGTATTGGGATTCAAGTACCCCATTCCGACTATTCAACATGCTGCATAAAACTTCTGGAACGTGATAGATTCAGAGAAGACCACGACGATCTTTGGGTTCTTAACCACCTATTCCAGAATGGACTGGTCGTTACTTCAAAGATTTTCGGTGCCGCAGTATCTACGGAGGGTACAGATATGCTTGACATCCTCCGGAAACACGTCGTTGATGTGGGAAAGATTGGCGGGCCCGCCCTGGCGAAAGCTGCAGGACTTGGTAATTACGAAGCAGTGGATTGGCTATTGGGTTTTGGTGTGGACATCAAAAGCCCGCTTCCAGATCGTATCTATAGGGACGGTCTAAAAGTCAACACTGTAATGGGAATGTGCATGTTGACTCTCAGTCCTACAAACACATCAATGTTACGACATTTGGCCAGATGCGACGCTGAGCTCAAGAGAACTGTGAGCGACCAGCACGCGGGAGATCTCTTTGGGTTGATGAGAATTACTGTGGAGGAAAACTATGTAAGTTCGAATGTAAGTTCGACTGTCCCTTGGCTGCTTGATCAACTCGAGGAGCGAGGCACTGAAAAGATGTTGAGAGCTGAACTTCAAGCTCTATACGCACTAACTGCGGTAGCAGATCGCTGCACAGTTTCCGAGAAGGAGACCAGGCTACCAGTCTCCCATAGGGTGCGTAAAACGTACGGTCTCCCACCATACCCTGAAGCAATCCTAGGGCCAATGATTGCGGCCCAAGTCGGTGATGAAATGATCCAAGAGCTTATCCGGGCTAGTATTGGCATCAATACCTATCCAGAAGAGACCTTCTACGAAAGATTTACTCCGATACAAGCAGCTGCATATGTCGCCAACTATCCCTTGGTGGTGCAACTGTTCAAGATTGGGGCGGATGTGAATGCTCCGGCTCGAGGCAAAAAAGGTAGAACAGCACTTCAAGCAATCTGTGAGTGGAATCCTCTGTCGGAAGAGGAAAAGAGTCGCCAGCATGATATTGTGAATTTCTTGATCAAGAAAGGTGCAAATATAAATGCTGGCCCCGTGTACGGTAGTCATGATCACGCAGCAATCACGACAGCTGCAATACAAGGAAATATTGAGCTCGTCACTGTCTTGTTGGCTCACGGCGCTGACCCCAACATTTACCCATGGCAGTTGACCTTAAGGCCATACGCGGCCTTGGACCTTGCCTGCGGCAGCTGCGATATGACGAAACTCTTACTGAATGCAGGAGCATTGAGTTCACATCGGGGTTCGACCGGATACGAAGGTGCGTTATTGTACGCTGAATTTCAAGGTCATAATGCTGTGGCAGGCATAATTCGCGACCACATGTTGCAGAAGGAGGAACAATTCCGTACAAAGCCAGAGCTGCGGGATCTCCACAATGCAGTCATACATAAATTGGATCTTGAAGATGCCTCGAGGCACGCGAACGAGACATACGATGAGGAGGATATGAAGGCCATGAAAGAGATTGAAAGATTGGCGGGTGAGCACGGATTGAACTATCCGCCACAACCTCGCCCATAATACGCGGATATCAAACCTACCCTTTGGTCTTTTCCCTGATACTCACCTCGAGAAGCGACTTGATAAAATTGGCGGCTTAGGAGTCACAATTTTAGGTATGACATTTTTCTTGCTGCAGTACTCATCAGCATCGTTGCGTGCTTCTTTCATTCCCAACTATAGCTCAGTGGTAATGCGACTTACCTACCATTATGAAATGTTATAAGGAAAGAATTTGAGTGCGATTGACTGAAGAAAGGCAGACTGGATCGAGAGGAGGGCTAGGCATGTCAGGGAAAAAACTTGAAAATGAGAAATAGGAGAAGTGTGTACTCAGAAAAGAAGATAGTGACAAGGGATACGCTCAGACGGAAAGGAAGCGAAATAGAAAGAAATTCTTAGGATTTTAGATACGAATATTTGGTCCATATCGCTTGCCCTTGCTCTGTAGTAGCTGTCCTTGGATTGCCAGAGCACTTAATTTGCCGTTGTCTCTTGGTCGAGGTTTCCTTGTTCAAATCACCGGTTCTATTAATATGACCAAGTGGCAAAACCAAATCTTAGAGATCCAAAATAAGGCGATCTTTGGGTTCTGTTGGCTGATGTGTCTCAATATACCAATTTACATCGTCGCAATACTTCGAACACTCCTAATACTCTTGTTATAGTTCAAGGAGGAGGCTTAAGGACCTCTTGATTACTTTGAATCGTCATGCTTGATCAGTCATGGCTGAAGACTGTCTGATCTGTGATACCACCATTCTAGCAATGGGCATGTATCGAGAAGAAGTTCACTTGCTGGCAGGTCTATAATATCTAGCTCTCTACAAGGAGTCAATCGGAATCTTGGAAACTTTCCACTTTTCAGACTAGGTAGGCAATGGCCTTCCGTATGCAAGTAAACTTTCGTCTGGGGGGTGCCAATTTAACTGCATCAAATCACAGGCTGACAACGCGACGCAGCACATGCACCCCGGGATCATGAATATCGTCAGCCAACGACATGGGTCTAAGTTAGTGATCCTGATGCTGGTAATCGGCCGGAACTCCAGACCGTTTGCTCATACATCAAGGATTATCAAGGAACTTTCCTTAGTCTACCTTCGAGATATATGGACGCCCAGTTTATGATCGCTGTCGTGTCGGTATTTGAGCTTCCATGGATGATAATAAGGTAGCCCCGGTCATCAGGCGCTGGTGTCAGTGTGACAGCGTTGCTAGGGGTTTCGGGACCCACCAGGAGAAGCCTCGGCCTCGGTGTGTTTAGATAGCAAGGGGCTCTCGGGCCAATCACGGGCGGCATGGCAGTGGCCAATGGCTCAGCTCAGCTGGCAGGCGCCAACCACCCGATTGAGTGCTCAGTCCACAGCCCAGCCCAGCCCAGCCCAGCTCCTCTCAGCAGGCCGTCGCGACATGAGATCCCCTTCCCTTCAGTCTCCGCCCCCAGCCCAGTTCCATCATCTCCCCTCCACACGGTTCGCGACATCCACATCACCACCATCGACGACCTGGACCACGCTGCTTGGAGGTGAGTCTCTGCCCCTTTGCTGCCGATTTGTCGCGTCATTTCGGCCGCATGCCCGCCCAATGCACGCAATTCCCTAAGCTGCCCCTGTCCAGCTGCACCAGTCTCGGCGGGTAAACAAATCCATTGGCTGGACACCCAAGACATGGATTCGAAGCGCCTCGCTCACTTTCAGACCTCACATCTCCCCAGACGCCTCTGCTACATCTCAGGAATGCGATTCCGTTCTCGTTTCACCTTTGCTAACGCCTTTCTTCCACCCACAGACTCTGAGCAGCGGCGACAGCAACCACCGACGACTTGACACGCGCGAACACCTGAACCGCCATCATGTCGGTGAGCTTCGAGAAGCAGACGAAAGAGGCCCTCAAGACGGCCGGGGATGCCATCGCCGGTGATCCTCAGAACATCCCGGGCACGAGCGGCAAGCACCCCATCTCCGCCGCCATCGGCACGGCTCTGACCGGCGGCAAGGAGATGGCGGGCACCAAGGGATATCTCGCTGTGCGTAACAACCATTTCCCTCTCCCCGAGGCACCAAGGCTCACCAATGCATGTTGTTTTCTATAGGCCTACATGAAGCAGCTCGAGGACAACCCGTTGAGGACCAAGATGCTCACAGCTGGTACTCTCGCCGGTGCTCAGGAACTCATTGCCTCGTGGCTTGCAAAGGACCGCAACAAGCACGGCAACTACTTCACCTCTAGAGTACCCAAGATGGCCGCCTATGGCGCTCTCATCAGCGCACCTCTGGGCCATTTCCTCATCTGGCTCCTGCAATTCACATTCAAGGGCCGCACCAGCCTCCGGGCCAAGATCACCCAGATCATCGTCAGCAACATTCTGGTATGTCCTAACAAAGCGCTCAAGCTTGCTTGAGTTCTCTACGTCGGGTGATCCAAACTAATCACAGAACTCCTCAGATTGCGCCCATCCAAAACACCGTCTACCTGGTGGCAATGGCTCTCATTGCTGGCGCGCGCACCTATCACCAGGTTCGCGCCACCGTCAAGGTCGGTTTCTGGAAGGTGATGCGTGTCACCTGGATTACTTCTCCCATCTGCCTCGCATTTGCGCAGAAGTTCCTCCCTGACCAGCTCTGGGTACCATTCTTCAACATTGTCTCATTTGTCATTGGTACCTACATCAACACCGTCACTAAGAAGAAGCGTCTTGCTGCTCTCCGCAAGAAGCACTTCGGTGACAACCGTGGCGATAGCATGGGCCCCCGCCCCGGCCCCGGCAGCATCGGCGGTCGTCCTGAGGACTACAAGGACTATCCCCCGATCGGCCCTAACCCCCCTTACTAAACTGAACGGCGAACCAACTGGAGAGCGTGTGATGTGGTGAAATTACACACCTCCTGCATCTAACAATATTCTTCCTGGAGAAATCGGTTCCAAGCAAAAGCGACCTTGTTCGGTACATCTGCCGCGGGTGACTTCCACAACTAGTAAAATATATCAACTAAACGTGGATATGGGTGTTGCAAGATAAGAGGTGGAGTGGATCTTTGGCCTTGTTGGTAATGATTGTCTAGAGGCTCCTTGTACAAATTTCGGCCTGATTGATTTTATGTTACGTTTCATGTGTTGGTTGGCAGTCAGGTAGATTGGATAGTTTTCTATTTGAGTTGCCGTTTTTGAGGCATGTTCACTCGCGTGATCTTGCCCAGGCATATAACCCTGCGTAGTTGCCGGCGTTATGAGGGCCATAGCTATGGGAATATGGACTCGGCGCCATGATAGCACACCAAATGCTCAGAATTTTGAGCAAGCCCTGGACACGGTCCATTTCATAGGGGTGGCGTGATCGATATAAGTCTAGGCGACTGATATATGACCCTGGCATGCCATAAACAAGCTTGATGCTGCCTTTTGGACTCGAGATCCGATAGCCTTAAGCTTTTCGAACCGGTCTTAGGCGGTTATGTTGTTTAAAGATGTTCAAAGTGAAAGGAGACTGGTGGCAGTCCTCCTCACTCGCCTTCCTTCACAGCGCCATCCGTGTCAACCATGAAGCTCGGGCTCCAGTACTCCCACTCACCCTTGGTCTGCTTGTCAACCCACAGCATCCCCTCAGACATGAGATCGTCAATAACCGTCTTGCACCTCGCCGTCTCCCATCCCAGGTTATCCCGCAGCATCCCAACACTCACGTACCCTAGCACTTGTACCGCCTCCACGACAGCCCTCTGGTCACCGCTCAGCTCCCTCGGCACGCTCCGGATATACTCCTTCTTCCCGACCTGCAGCACGGCATAGCTGCCCCCCAACGGCTTGAGCGTCTCAACAGCACGCCGCACGTCGTCCTCCGATATCTCGCTGCTCCCCTCCATCCTCCCCTTTGACACCCGCTCCGTCAACTCAGCCAGCCCAATCAACCCGCCATTCTCCCCCCTCGTGACGCCGCACACCTCCACCACCCGCACGGCCAGCTCAAAGTAAAAGTCGTTGACGCTCTCGCCGAGCAGCTGTGCCCACAGCCCGCCACCACCTCCGCTCCCCTCGTTCGTGTGGCTCGACGCGAGGGGGTCGACGCCGATGACGCTGCACATGCGGGCGAACTGGGCGCGGAAGGCCGGGTCGGAGCGTATGTCCTTGGCGTGGGTCTGGGCGAACTGCTGGAGGAGGGAGCGGAAGACGGAGAGCTGGGTCGAGAGGGCGTCGGCGTTGGAGGCGCGCAGGCTGGAGCCGTGGGAGGCGAAGTGGGCGGAGGTGAGGCGGGAGCGGTCGAAGGCGCCGATGCCGACGCCCTTGCGGGACATGGCGAGTTGTTTCTTGTGGTCTGCGAGGGGAGCAGACCCTGGGCTTGTTGTTGAGATTGTGGGATGGATGGTGGTTCAATCTTGGTTTGAGGCGCGGGGGAGGGGACGGGTGGCGGTGGGTTCAGATCGAGGTTGGTGGTGCGGAATGGGGACCGGGGTGTGATAGGGGGATACCTCCGTATACGGTTTTCGACTCAAGATTACCACGTAGTTTTATGTATCGGACTAACAGTGATGTAGCCAGATGCACGGCATCCTTCCGCTGTCCAACTTGTCTCTGTTCTGTTACTTCTGGTCACAACAAAATCAATATATTGAGCCATACGTCACGCAAGACTAACCATGAGTTTGATGTTAAGGTTAAGTGTCTGTCCGACCAGTAATTCACCACGTGAATCCCCTCGAGCAACCGTCCGTCATTAGTGTCCAGCCGGACCAAATCTAACATTAATCAAGCTGCATTGACAAGTCCTACCTAGCTAGTTTCAAGACTGGTCCAACCCGAGAACCGAAGGGCTGAAGTACAAGGTTCTATCGTGTTGATCACCAAGTTAGACGAGGGCCCAGATTCAGCTCCAACAGCCAACTCTTGCATATCACCTACCCTTCTCTATCCCGCCCTCTCCAAGATCATCGGCACTTCACCCAGCTAGTGGGAAATCCGCCTCGCCAACTCCACTTGTCTCATCGTCTTTCCTTGTTTAAACTGGGGTCGACCAATCCATCGTTTCATCGCCGCCACATGTCGAACCCTCGCCATGCAGATTATGGAATGTAGTGCGAGCTGGATCAGAGCGTCCAAGGCATGACTTCAATTACGTCGCTGCAGGAGCGAAGCTCGGGGTTCCACAGCCTCGGGGGGTCTCACCAGCAGTGATTCGTCCGAGCTGATCGAGCTGAAAACCGCAAAGGGAAGCTCAAACCACAGCCAAGATGTAATAGCTGCATGTACGACGGGCCAGCGACGGTGTCTCAACTGCGCAGTCTAGACTCCAGCCCAGTTGTATAAGAAGGGGCCTCTTCTCCTTCTCACAATGGCCGTCTTCATCTTCCTCATCAGAGAATAATCCAGCATAGATCACAAAGCTAGCACCATGAAGGTCAGCCAACAACACTCAACTTACACACGTACACGTATAAGAGCCACCCCAATCTAACAAACCACCACAGTTCTCCGTCGTCCTCGTCACGCTCCTCGCCACCGTCACCTCCGCCGCAAAGCTCACCCAGAGCCAGGCCGAGACCCGCCTCAAGGCCGCGGGCATCACCGCCACCTCCTCGGGCGGCTGCACGAACCGCAACGTCAAGACCTGCACGTCCTACGAGCAGGTCAACGAGGCCACCGTCCAGGGCGCCATCACCCTCAAGAAGGCCTGCGGCTGCGACGTCACCATCACCGGCGGCACTGAGACGGGCCACGCCACCAGCACATACTCGCACTGGAACGGCTACAAGTTCGACTTCCGCAAGGGCTCCGGCATCGACAACTACGTCAAGAACACCTTCACCAAGATCGCGAACCGCGGGGATGGGTATCCCCAGTGGAAGGCCGCCTCTGGGAACATCTACTGCGTAAGTCGAGATGCATTCTTTTTTGTGCTAACATACGGTGACTTACACTATATATATCTAGGATGAGGGCAACCATTGGGATGTCACCTTTTATACCAACGGTAGCTAAATGGCCAGTTCTGCGGCTGTAGATGAAAAGAAATGAGTTGATGATCTGGAATAGTCAAGAGTGGAATTGCTTTAGTATGATATGGTTTCAAGAATGCCAAAATATGCTGCCTGCCTTGCCCTCCTTTTGATCCTAACTCCTCGCCTGTGGATTGCCATTGTGATCCCATCCGTATGTGCTTCGCAAAGTCTTAGCATTCGCCATTGTGTCACTTGCGTAGAGAAGAGAGGAAGCATGTCATCACAATCAGAAGTAGGAGTCTTTCTCCCGCCTGCTTTTTTTTGTTCATGTCTACGGCACCACCAGGTGCCTCCTTCTCATCTTCCCAAGAGTGGTGTGGTGATATCCTCAATACAAATAGACCAACGCATTAAAGACAAACTCTCGTCACTAAGATCAATGCCACCTGTCTATTGTGGCCTCTTGGCACGCAGAGGCCCATCATCGTCATAAAAAGTCGTAACCCATCCCAATATATGCCTCACCATAAAAATATACCATCAGGATAATTAATGGCCCGGATTTCTTTTTTTTTTATTGAGTATGGCATTGAGCCTGGCCATCTCCCATCTCATCGTCATCTTCCCATTCATTGTCGAACCGGGGGTCTCCCGAGTTCTCGCCCATCTTCAGTGCCCATATGTTAGCAGAGTCCTCTAAACAGAAAAGAATCGGAAAGGGGGGGTTTCTTGTGGTGAAACTTACCTTTTCAATGTCTGCGTCATCTTCGTACTCTACCTCATCTACCTCATCAGCCTCCACACTTGGGAGTGGCGGGGGCAACATCTTGGCAAGAGTCTCGTGCTGAGAGTCTTCCTTCAGGAAATCATCCTCAGGGAACTCAATGTCGACAATC